TTTATATTTTCAAATTAAATTGGCACAAATAAGAAATAAATTCTAAATAATTATTTCAAGGATTAAGAAAACTTTCTGCTCAGATGAAGCAGAAAGAGAGTGGAACCACTGAGAGAGCTTCCTAGTTCATTTTTCCCTGAATTGGACATGAGATTGCTGGCCAAGAATAAAAGAAAAATCTGTAAGTGAGGCTGTAGGGTTATTACCTCACAGGCCAAGATATACATTTAAGCTCTGAAACACCTCAATTTCATCAGCCCCAGAGGCTTGTATAGTTTACTTGACATTCTTCAGGGAGGAATGCCTCATAGACCATGGATTCTTGGTTTATTTACTATAAGTAATGCTTAGCCAGGGATAGAGGGACAGGGGCATTTTGTAGATAAATGTCTTCCTACTAAGAAATATCACTAGTATGTTTACCTAGAGGACCTTGCCTAGAGGCAAGGGGATTGGAGCAGTTCCTATCTCTTTTTTTTTCCCCCAAGACATCCTCCCAGTAAATCAGTGTGTAGCTGACAAGCTAGTCACTTTAATTGTCTCCATTCCATGTATAATGAAAGAGAAAGATGACTATCATTACTGATCCCACATTTTTAAAACAATATTCAAAGTTTTCTTTCTTTGGTATTTGTTTATTGACTGAGCAGCTAAGGTACTGGGAAAAAAACATGAAACTATTATCGTAAAACATTAGACTCTAGGAAGCATAGTACTATGGTCCTTAAGCAAAGAGAAACACATGGTACGAGTTTTATGATCATCCCAGGTACCTTCCTGGAGGTATATCAGGACAATAACTAAAAGAGAGGGATACCAAGAAGAGCACAATGGTCTGTTTGGGTTCAGAAGATAAATTAAATTCCATGAGTCTTATGGTTAAGTCTTTAATCTATTTGGAGTTGTTTAGTATATAGTGTGAGATAAGGTCCAATGTTATTCTTCTGAATGGGAATATCCATTGGTACCAACATGAACTATACAGGAGACTGCCCTTTCCCCATGTAAAAAATAATGTTTGAGATCTCTATTCTATGCTCTTTTATTTCTATTTCTATCTATTCTATCTCTGTTTTACTCTATTTTATCTGGGATTGTGTTCTGTTAGTCTGCATGTCTGGTTGTATACTGATTCCGTGTTGTTTTGACTACAAGAACTTTGTAGTATTCTCTGAAATTGGGTAGTGTGATGTCTTCAGCTTTATCCCTTTTGCTTCAGATTGCTTTGGTTATTCAAGTATTTTTGTGGTTCTATATAAATTTTAGAATTACTTTTACCAGTTTCTGTGAAAATTATTAGTTACATAATATAGGGCTTACATAAGATCTAACACTGTAAAACTACTAAAAGAAAACTAGGAGAAAAACTTCATGAATTCATCTGGGAAATTAATGTTTTAAATATGACTTTGTGAGGGCCAAGGCTCTTGGATCCCTAAAGGTTTATTGAAAAATATTGATATGAGAAAATTGATTAGAAGAAGAAAAGGTATATAAATTTAATTAATGTGTACATACAGGAACAATCTTTTTAATGAGTTATGGAAATTTATATACAGTTTTGAGGTTACAGAAAGAATGTGGGCTTGAATGCTAGTAAACACGTTATGGGAGAAGGTAGAAGAAAATTTTTATTGGGGACAATAAATGGTTACTATGGAGAATGAATGGATCTAATGGCTCTGAAAACAGAAATTAGCTTGTAAATATTTTTCTTTAGAGTTTAAATTATCCTTGGAGATACTCATTATATTTGTAAAAGAGTCTGTTTAGGTGCGAGGGTCACATCTTTGTCTTCTTCCCCTCCTGCCCACGAAGAAAAAAACAATTTTTCTCTTTGGTACATCTGGATCTTAGACAGATAAAGGAATTTTAACTTCTATGGGAGAAAAGATGCTGGGGATGTCAAAGACATCTTGAAGTATTTTTAGTGCAGTATGCTAAGGTACCAAATTTGGGGGTGTTGAATTCTGAACTGCAGTAACCTCAAAATACAGGCAACAAAGAACAGGAAGACAAATAGGTTTATATGAAACCCCAAATCCTACACAGTAAATAATTCTGTTTGTATCTAGGTTGGTAGAAAAAGAGATAACCAGTGGAAAAAGAAAATATTTGCAAACCATACATTTTATAAGAAATTAAAATCCAAAATATATAAGGAACTTAAGCAACTCAATAGCAAGAAAACATTTAATTGAAAAATTGACCAAGAACTTGAATAAGCATTTCTCAAAAGAAAACATACAAATGACCTAGAAGTATATGAAAAACTGCTGAATTTCACTAATCATCAGGAAAATGCAAATTAAAACCACACATCACATCACACTTGTTAGAATGGTTATCAAATAGATAAATGATAACAAAAGTTGGCAAGGATGTGTAGAAAAGGGAACACTTGTACATTCTTGATGAGAATGGAAATTATTACAGTCTTTATAGGAAACAGTGCGTTCCTTAAAATATCAAAAATAGAGCAACTATTTCATTAAAAAATTACACTTCTGTCTGTATAATAAAAAAATGAAATCAGCATGTCAAAGAGATATTTGTAATCCTAGAACTGAGATGACAAACATGGACTCTTATTACTACAATTATTCATCCTACACACTGGGAGACACTTCAGTCAATCAAGATCTGCTTTTTTTTTTTTTTGTTTCAGCAGACTACCTTACACAGCCAATAGCTGTTGGCTAGACTTGTCAGCTCACAAGTCGAAATTTTATTATTATTGCTAATATTTATTTATTTATTCATTTATGAGATGGAGTCTCATTCTGTGGCCAACTGGGATGTGTTACTTAGTTAACGTGTAGGAACAAAATACAGCCTCACACAGATATTTAGTGGGAATAAAGGAATACTTTAATAGCATTTGAAGATACTTAAGAATTGCTTTTTGATGTTAAACCTAAATTGGCTAGTGTTATCTTATTGAAACTTAGTTGTAATGTATAATCTATAGGATTGCAATAAAATATTCCACTTTGTTACATTAAAATAGATTTGTTTGTCTTACATTTTGAGTAATTATTTTACCCATGCATGCTTTTGCACCATCATGCTTCGGTCACTTCAAAATATTGTTTTACTGAATTATGTAATTCTTCTAAAAATTGACATAGATTTTTCAACAATATCCAATAACTACAGTAGTTAATATCAACCCAATGTTATCAAAAGAGTCATTATTAGTAAACTATTAAGCTCATAATGATAACAGCTTTTAAATTTCATATTTTTATTTGAAAGATAAAATTTTATCATTGAAAAAACATTTTGCATTTTTTCACTTCATTTTCAATAAAGTATCTACTAAATGTTAGATACCTATATTTTGTCTTTCAGTCATTCTTTACATTTAAAAAGGTATCTTATTTTAAAAACTTGACTAGTTTAAATCACTGCAATTGCACACATCTCCTGAAGACAATCATCAGACTTCAGAGTGCTACAGAAATGCTTTCTGTATAATATCTCCAATTTTGTCATGAGAATATTAAAACTACATGTATCTAAGTGTTATAATTTAATAAAAGTAAAATGTTTTATCGTTTGACTAATGGCTTTCTTAAGTAAAATGTAATAGTCTGACAAGTATATTAGTGAACAATTACTACTAGTACAGATTGGTGTGACTGTCCTGATTTTTGCTAAGGCTGTGGTGGTTTATCTAATATTGTTTTACACCATAAGAGAAACTGTCAACAGAGTAAAAAGGTGACAAACATCTTCATATTATTTTTAAAATAGTTTTAATCTTTAGGACACCAAAAAAGGGTTTCAGGGATCCTCAGGGTTTATATAGCGTACTTTGAAAACTGCAGCAATAAATTATGAGAGATATCTGAAAGGATTATTATGTGGTCCTCAAATTAGAACTCCTGTTGTCTTCCTAGTGTATAGACACTTTGTGGTATTCTCTGTTTGAAATAGAGAAAAAAATTGCTAAAACTATAGCTGAAAACCAAGTTTTGATTCGCTCAAATAAATAAAGCACATTCTGAAATACATCTGCAATTAATGTCACCACTCTTAATCATTTTCCAAATCTCACATAACTTCTGCCTAAATTAAACAAGTAAAATGGCATGCATAAAAACTCCTTTAATCTACATTTTCCAAATATTTGGTAGTAGGCCTAATCTCAGTGATTCTACAGGGATGTGGTATATCTTTTGGTTTATAATTTTAATATTTAGGAAAAAATCTAAGTCTCTCCTTTTGACTTTTTCTTCAATTTCCGTCCTGAATGCACAGATTCTTTTGTCAATGTTAGCATTCTGTTCCAAGCGTGCATTCAGAACAGGCTGAAGGCGCTTTTCTGTTAATAATATTAAATGAGATATTAGCATGCTTCCCATCTACTTAAGTTCCAAACAATGTCATGAACAATAGATACCTCTAAAGATTTTTGTCAGTCAAATTATAGGATTATTTATTTGATGTTGTTGCCTACTATGGTGACCACACTCAGTTTGTCATTTGTGGCTAAGTGTTGCCACCATTCCAGAATCCGATCATCTCCATAACACCCAGAAAGCCATTTCAATAGCAGAATCTCCTGACTTCATTCTTAATGGACATAGGATATCTATTAGTGTGTCTTTCCAAGGGTGTCAGAGTTTCCTTCATTGATATCATTCCCAGTGGCTTGGTAAAGGGACAATGGCCATGGTTAGGAAAGTCCAGATATGCAATCCAAGGAATATGTTCTATAGCCAGGGCAGAGTTGTCATAATTCCTGACCATATGCAGGTGAGGAATATCCTCAGAGAAAGGGGCTGAGACAGAAGAGATCTCTGAAGGATTTCTTGGTATGGAGCCTTCTCTCCTTATAACATGAGAAAGAAAAAACAACTAACTTGTTTGATCTTTGTCTCCCTAGTGTATAGACACTTCGTGGTATTCTCTGTGGTATTCTCTCTTATCTCCTTATAACACGAGGAAGAAAGAAACTAGCTTGTTTGAACTTTTGTATTTTTGTTTGTTTGTTTTTACTTTAGGTTCTGGGGTACATGTGTAGGTCATGAAGGGTTGTTGCATAGGTGCATACATAACCAGGTCGTTTGCTGCCTCTATTTGCCCTTCATCTAGCATTTCTCCCCATCTTTCTTATTTTGATGTATTTGGGGGTATAAAGTTTAAGACTCAGCCCTAATTCGGTATAATCGAAGGATACTGATGAACTTTGAATACTCTTTGGCCTCAATAAATATTTATAGTTTCTATGATTCATGCTTACTCTTTAAGTTCATTATCTTAGGTTTTTGAACATTGTAAATTATGTTTCTCATAGAACAAAGCCCTACTCAGTGGCTTCTAGCTATTTAATCCTATTTTGAAATGACCAATATCCTAGCCATCCCAGTGCTCTAAATAATTGAAATAAATTGTGGCACATTTGATTTGCCCTTAGCAAAATTTATAAAGGCTACCATTGATCACTAAGACAGCCAAAATCATCTGCCTAGTTATGATACAACATGTTTTGGTGGTTGCTTGAAGATAATGGTCTCAGGCTAAATCAATTTCAAGTGCAGACATAAAAATTATTGGCACTTTGAAAATTCATGCCATATTGCCATTTCTTTTGCATCCTTTCCTAAAAGTTTTAAAACTTTTCTAAATAAAATATGTTTTTTTGTAACATGGTACATATAGTTTATGATCAATAACCTATTGTTCTGTTGAAATGTATATGTATACAACATTTTTTCCTTTTACTCCCATATTCATGATTCTGCTTACATTACCTATTCATTTATTCACCTAGAAAATATGTATTATATTACTGCATTCAGCCTGACATTTCATGAGGCTCTTGGAGATATTATATTTAATAAGATACATATTAGAAATGCTATATTCAAACTTGAGTTACTAGCTAAAACCATCTCTGGTGCTAGAAGTCACAACTTTCTCTCCACCAATTCCTTAAAGTTAATTTCATGGTATAATAAGAAACAATAAGCTGCAGTGATAACAATATGTTTTGGAGGAAAAATCAAAAACAAAAGCAAACAATTAAAAAAACTTAGGTTAATATGATACCTACTATGGAAAAGCATTGACTGAAACTGGAATTATTATTTAAACCTTGTGATATTTGGTTTCCTATTGGTCAAATAAGGATGATGACACTTAGATTATACGGTTGTTCTAGGGATTTTAACTATACTTCTAATTCTCTACTACCCTTGTAACTACTACTTTGTTGTAAATTCTCACCACATATTTTGGCAGGAATATTATCTTCTACTCACCCAAAGACAGGCACATCAGAATTTGGGTACTTAAAGTAACAAAGTTCATATTATCTTTACCTACTTTTCTTCTTACTATTTTTTTTTTTTTTTTTTTTTTACCATAGGTGGGCATTAACCAGGGTTAGTTTACATGGCTATGGTGTAATACTTTCTCTGTCTTCAAGTCTATACAAATGCAACCTGTACACTATACATAGCTGATTATTTACTTATTTATGACTTTCTAAAATGCTTTTTCTTATTCAGTTTTGCTATCTTTTCAAAAGACTCCACAACATTCCAAATAAAAGAACATATTTGTTACTTCTGTAGTATTCTCTTGAAATGGTTTGGCTCTGTGTCCCCACCCAAGTCTCATCTCAAATTGTAATCCCCTCATGTGGAGGGAAGGACCTGTAATCCTCATGTGTCAAGAGAGGGAGGTGATTGGATCATGAGGTTGATTTCCCCCATGCTGCTTATGATACTGAGTGTATTCTCACAAGATATGATGGTTTCATAAATGGTACTTTTTCCTGTGATGACACACACTCTCTCTCACATGCTTCCATGTAAGATGAGCCTGCTTCTGCTTCCCCCCCGATTGTAAGTTTCCTGAGGCTTTCCCAGCCAAGTGGAACTGTGAGTCAATTAAATCTCTTTCCTTTATAAATTACCTGGTCTTAGGTATTTATGTATAGCAGTGTGAAAACAGACTAATATGCTCTATATGAAAAGCAAAGTGATTTTCTCTATATAGTATTTGCTCAATAATTATCTTGCAATTTATTTTGGCAGGTATAATCTCTTGAAAGTAATTGAGTTGCAAGAAAAATAATACCCCTGTACTTTTCCACATTATTTTTGTTATGATATTGAGAGGTGTGTTTAATTCTTCTCTTTAAAGAATACAAATCCTTTTTGAAAACTGAATAAAGTTATGCTTTTAAGTAATGGTAGTTGCTCTTATTTATTAAAAGGCAAAATATCTGTAAATTTTGATAATTTATGTAAATCATAAGTTCCTTGTGACATTTCAAAAATAATAGATATTTTAATGTCTTAAAGTATTGATATACTAAAATTGAGAATCCCTGCAACATGTAAAACAGTTTCAGTAATTTTATTCCTCCTTTTTGTTTATTTGAAAGTTCTATTTAAATAATATATTTTAGTGCGAAATATGAACACATTTTTTTTCACATATCATTTTTTTTTCAGAGCTCCGTTGTATTGACTTAATTGATATAACTAGCAGTGCTCTTTTCTATAAGAGAAGTTCCTATTGACAGTAAGGCTAATATGAGAGATGCAAAATCAAACCAAGAAAATAAAATGTATTTTTCACAATCCATTTAATTAACAAGAGGTCAAGCAGATCCATTGTCTTGTAAACTTTAAAACTTCATTTACTTTTATCATATAAAACTTAAATGTATCAGTTATAATATTTAGGATATTAATGATTCAAAATTCTTGTGGATTTTTACTCTCAAATTCTCTATAATCTTTCTCAATGTATTGTAAGAACTTTATTGAACATAATTAGTATTCTGTTTAGAATACAGAGGACCTGTTAACCTCGTTAAGCTAGGCATGATAGAACAATGCACAATTATATTTGAAGTTATCTCTGAGTAAAAATTCAAAATAATTTTTAACAAAATAGCTAGTGAATAATATGAATCAGTAGCTCATTATAAATGGTCAACTTTCTCAGCAAATATATATTTTTTGAAAGCCTGCTTAGTGCAAAGTTGCATTTTAGATTGCAAAGTTGTTTCTACTAAAATGAAATAGAGCATATCTACAATGTTAAGAGGCTTACAATCAAGAGGGACATTCAAACAAAAATGAACCAATGTGGTTATGCAAATATACATGTTATGTTGGAAGATTAATTGTTGAGGAAACAATATTTGTGTCTATATTTTTACTGTGAGAGTCAGGGTACAAATAAGCTAATTTTAACCTGGGTTTCCAAAATTAAAGAAGGCATTCACAAGTAGAAGAGATAAAGCATATGTTTCTAACAGTAAAAATAGCAAAGGAGAAAGTTGTAGAGCTAGAACAATGATTGCTGTGTTGAAAGAACAAAATCAGGTGACTGTGGCATAGGCTATGAAATGGGAAAATTATGAGAATGGAAGATGGCTATAGCAAAATTATGAGATTGTGGATGTGAAGATAAGAGATACAAATTTTATTTGAGGAGGTTTTGAAGGTTTTTTTTTAAAGGGGATAATATAATCCCAGTTAATTGTAAGAAGTTTGCATTACTGATTGCAGTGATGAGCTCCTGAAGACAAGGTAAGAGAAGTCAAGAAACTAAGCCAGAAAAGTGATGTGGAATTGAAGATATTTTTTTTTTGAAAGTAACTAAAAAGAAAAAAAAAATGACCTGTATAGTTGTTAACATACTAAAAGACTTTTTTTGTTCCACTTTATTGTTTTTCTTTTTAACTTTATTTTAGGTTCAGGGGTACATATGCAGGTTTGTTACACAGATACATTGCATGTCACTGAGGTTTGGTGTATGAATGATTCCATCACCTGAGTAGTGAGCACAGTGCCCAATAGGTAGCTTTTCAACCCTTGCCCTCTTCCCATCCTCTCCCGTCTAGTAGTCCAGAGTGTCTATTGTTCCCATTGTTACAACCATGTAGCTCCCACTTACAAGTGAGAATATATGATATTTGGCCTTCTATATTTGTGTTAATTTACTTAGGATAATAGCCTCCAGCTGTATCTATCTTGCTGCAAAGAATATGATTTTGCATGGCTGTATGGTCATGGTATTCCATGGTGTATGTGTACCACAGTTTCTTCATCCACTTCACTGTCGGTGGGCATCTAGGTTGATTCCACATCTTTGCTATTACAAATAGTGCTGCAATGAACATATGAGTGCAGGCATCTTTTTTTGTACAATGATTTACTTTCTTTTGGGTGTATAACCAGTAGTGGGATTGCTGCCTTGAATGGTAGTTTTATTTTAAATTATTTGAGAAATATCTAAACTGGTTTCCACAGTGGCTGATTAGTTTACATTCCCAACAACAGTGTATAAGCATTCCCTTTACTCTGGAATCTTGCCAACATCTGCTATTCTCTGGCTTTTTAAAAATAGCCATTTTGACTGTTGTGACATGCTATCTCCTTGTGGTTATAATTTGCATTTCTCTAATGATCAGTGGTGTTGAACATTCTTTTTTTTCATATATTTCTTGGCTGCATGTATGTCTTCTTTTGAGCAGTGTTTATTCATGTCCTTTATTTGTTTTAAAATGGGGTTAGTTTTTGCTTGTTGGATTGTTTAACTTACAGATTCTGCATATTAAACCTTTTTCAATGTATAGTTTGCAAATACTCTCTCTCATTCTATAGATTATTTACTTCATTGATAGTTTCTTTTGGTGTGCAGAAGCCCTTTAGTTTAATTAGGTTTCATTTATCAATTTTTGTTTCTGTTGAAATTGTTTTTGGGGATTTAGTCATAAATTCTTTGCCAAGGCTGATGTCCACAATGGTATTTTTAAGGCTTTCTTTTACAGTTTATGTCTGAAATTTACATCTTTAACCCATCTTGAGTAAATTTTTGTACATGGTGTAATGTAGGGGTCTAGCTTCAATTTTCTGCATATAGAAAACTAGTTATCTTAGTTCTATTTATTGAATACAGAATCATTTGCCAGTATGTGTTGAAGATCAAATTGTCATAGGTGTGTAGCTTTATCTCTGGATTCTGTGTTTTATTCCATCGGTATGTGTCTGTTTTTGTACCAATACCAGGCTGTTTAGGTACTGTACCCTTGTAGTATACTTTGAAGTTAGACAATGAGACA